ACCCTACTAATCATCACGTTGGTTGCTGTCACAATGGCTGTCACATGAGAAAAATGATATTTAGAAGTAAAAAATATGTTTTAAATCCATTAATACTTCTGGTTACTAGGTTGAATTAGGCATTCCAACGACCTGTCAAACAATAGGTGCCAGTGGGAAATTCTTGTATATTTAAGGGGGTAGCGACATAGTCTTGCAACTTGGACGCTATTTTTATTCGAAGTAGTACTCGCCAAGCCTGCCAATTTATGAAGAAATGTATAGGTGGGTTTTTTAAATATTATTTTTATTGTGTTTGACATAAAATATTTAAATGTAATCCATTATTCATGATTTTACGTAAAGTAGATATAATACACCATATGTCGCCACCCTTACATATACCAAACCTGCCCACTGGTAATTCATTTGTTTGGAATGCCTAATACAACAACAAAATTTGACCGATCGTCACCTTACATCAAATATGTTTTAGATAATAATTCGACACACTACAAAAAACAAATAGTTACCAATGCCTGCCTTAAAATTTATTTATTTTTTTTTAGGCTAATCTGTGTGGACGATGGACAGGAACTGTCCCTCCAATATGGCTGCCAATTCTACGAAGTCAGCGCCGCAGAAAACTTCGCCGGCGTGTCCCTAGCATTCCAATCCCTCCTGCGCGAAGCACGATCCGTTCAATTGCTGAAAGCTCTACCAATCAGACGAAAGCTCGGCGTCAACAGCGTTTCGAAGGTGTTAGGTAACATCTTCGGGAAGAACTCGAAAGGGGATCGCAAAAAGAGACCGTCGTTAAGCATATAATTTTAATGTTATTTTTGTTTTTTTTGTAACAGTTCCTTATTTATTTAAGATTATGACGCATAAATGTGATAGCGGACATTTACCATTCGTTTTTGTGTTGCTATGAAAGACTGAAAATTTTAGATGATCTTTTTACCACAGTGTAGAGAACAATCAGTAGTGCGACTCTTAAGCGGTATCTTTAAATTGGACGGGTCTGGTTTTCCACATTTTGCTAGGTTTTTAATGTAGCAACAGATATAACTGTCTGTATAAAATATTTTATTAAAATGTATAATAGCATACTTAAAATTAGGATATCCTTCGTATCCTGTCTGAAATTAAGACTGCATTAAAGTTCAAATTAAAAAGATTTGTAATAAAGTATACAAGTCATACATTATTATCTGTGGAGACAACCACTGGAAAAAAAATAACTTGACAATAACTCAACTGATAACTGTCTGAATACAACACTAGTAGAAGATTGCCATAAAAAGCATTGTCAATCACAGTATATCGCGTGACAACTCGTAAATTAATCCGGAGAAAATGGCGGCGTAATCGACGCAGTTCTGATGCCCAGATCTTGCAAGAAAGTTGAGTCGCATTACTGATTGTTATATAACTGTGATTTTACTATCTGGATTGATCACGACAGTTTTGTTTATAGCGAAACTCTTACAAAATTTGTTAAGATTCCAATTTGAAGTTTCTCAATAGTTTTTCAAATTTTGAGGTCATATTTTAGGGATGGTTAAGAGAGAGATCTACATAAAAATAAGAGTTAGGTTAGTTAACATAGAATAAAAGAGAAAGCGAAAATACAAAATTAGGTTCTGACAATAAATAATAAATTTAAATTAAGGATATCGGAAGAACAATTGAAACAAAAATGCATTTAAGGTTGTAGTTTATAGCGTCTTTGAATCTAGTGCACGGCTTGCACTGAGTCCATACGAAAGGTAGAAGATATGTCAATATCAGTTACTTTTCAATCTGAAATGTAACCGGTATCGATATATCGCTCATCTTTTATGTGCACTCCACGCAGGCAGGGCAGTGGAATCGAAGACGCTATTAGAAAGTGAAGGACAAGTGGTTGACAAATTATTGACCAGTGACTGTTGACAAATGATTTACAAGTGAATATTGACAATGTGTTGACATTGTTGCCAACTTTATCTTTTAACAAGTCAATATCACTTTATAAGAGCGTAACTATGGATTACATAACAAAAATAAGTAAAAGATGATTGAACAAACCAATTTCATAGATTTTTGGCTTCCAAATATCTAAGTTTTCTGACAAGATAGTTTTTTTATATAAATGGTGTGACTATGGGTGACTATTTTATAGAGTGGACTCATGTCAACCTCTTGTCTAATCATTAAATTTTCATAAAATTTTTATCAAATTTTCACCAAATTTCCATCAAATTTTTATTATATTTTCACTTTTTCGTTAAATTTTTCCAAAATTTCATGATAAAAAATTGGGCAAGTATGTTACCAAAAAAGGATGATTCAAACTATCCCCTAAAAACATGAACTTAAATACGTAAGTCGATAATTTGAAAAACTCGTGAAAGGTTAAGGTGGAATCTTACCCCAAATATTTAATTAATTGGTAGGAAGTTATTAACCTGCCAAACATCACAGTCATTGTCACGTTATTGTTCAATGCTATAAATAAAAAATAACTGTCATGGTCCATCCAATATAGAAGTTGTTCCATAATATTTTTTCAGTTGTATTTTATTATTATTGTCACATCTTTGATACCTCAATTGCCGCGTTTGAGAATCCACATCGGATGCATTTTTTACATCTCGAGCGTTTTTTCATCCACATCGGACACATCTGTTCCATTACATTTACGTATACTGAATCACGTGATCAAATATTTACTACATCTCAGATGCATCCGATGTGGATTCTCAAACGCGGCAAATATAAATGCCGCATTTGAGAATCCACATCCGATGAATTTTTTACATCTCGAGCGTTTGTTTATCCACATCGGATACATCTACTACATCTATACATCTGCGTTTGTTCATCCGAGATGTACCTTACATTTTTTACATCTCGATTTGAAATGAGATGTTCGTTCCGTGCCAGAAAGTAAGTGTTCTGTGAAGCCAAGCTTGTCAATTTATCCTTTGTTTATGCTGGCATGAATATAAAAGTGATTAGTTTGTTTAATTTTTTGTTTAGATTTCAAATTTAGGTTGATTTGTAGTCTCAAAAGTCAAATTTAAAAAGTAAAACTTCTAACTTGTTATTGTCATTTTATCTCGTGACCAATAAAGTCTCAAGCGTTTGTTTATTACATCTACATTCAGATCTTATTATCTATCACGTGATAAAAAATTCACATCTCAGATGCATCCGATGTGGATATTCAAACGCGGCAAAAGTAAGTAGATACCTAAAACATTTACATTTTAGGTTATTTTTTTATTGTTTTCCATTGAATTTCATAAACATTACAACTCTAATTAATATTTTGGAACACCTTACATACCATATTTCATTTTGTGCATATTTAAAAACAATCGTTATTACCCCCCACATACTTCAATAGATAGCGATAGACTTCCGACATATTCAAAATACAAGATCGGCCATTTTGATACGGTTACTAGTTTGTTCATGTAACATTTGAATCTGTTAACAACAATATTCCTACGATCTTGCAACATTTTATAATACAAAAGACATGTTGAATAAAGTCTAATACAGATATTTTAAAACAAATTAAACTTTTATACCCTATTATAAATATCCAAACAAAAAATACAGATTGAATAAGTTACTATATGAAAATGGCCGTTCTATTCTATTAAATTCTAAATAAAGATTGTCAAATTTACTCAGTATATTAGTTGAAGTATGTGAATTACCCAAGTCCATGACCAGTCTTCTTATCTTTGCGGAAGCACGGTCTTGGACTACTTAGGCAAACGGCTACCAATTTATGTTTAAATATTCATTTTTCTGCATCACTTTTAAAAAAGATTGTAATATATAAATGCTATAATTTCGTTAGACTATTGCTACTGAGAGTCGGCCTCGAATGTCACGGAAAGGTAACCGGGTGTTAGGGTTAACACCCATGAAGCAAAATTGAGTTTAAACGACTTATTGCAGTTTTATATTTTAAATATTGTTTGGGAAATACATATTTATTATACATAGTTTTAAACACTAAGAACACCATTGTTTTAAATAGATTTTTCATTATTTGTATTTTATATTATTTTGAGATTTTAATTTATTGAAAATGTACATTACCTTGATTGCTTCGATTTTTTTTATCATAATGAGATTGTTGCCATTAATCGCCATTTTAATTACGTGATAGATTCGAAATCTTTCGGCTGATTCTCAGTTGAATATACCTCAGAGATAGGTATGGTTTAATTGAGTGATGCTGATGTACAAATAAATTTATAAATAACTAAATCATGTATCTATAATATATTTTTAGGAAAAAGTGCCTATAAGAATAATATATCTTAATTTCATTTTTGTAAATTATTTTATGTATATTGATCTCACAATCAGACAAATTTGATAAAGTAATTAGACAGTTTTTAGAAAGAGATTTATGAAACGTTTATAAAGTATGACAATAACTACTTTTGTTTTGCCTATATTAGGTATTTAAGTTTTTTTTTTTGAAAGACTGTTTATTTCAAGTTAATTCAATTATTTATTTTAAAATTCCCTAAATCTGATTTTACACGGACTTCTGTCGAATTTGTAATTAAAGACTTAAAAAAATTATTTATATTTTTGAAAATGACTGTCATACACCTGTAAACTATATACTATATTTTTAATAAGAATGTGTATTTTTATTTTCTTGAACCTACTTTTTGGCCACTCTTTAGATCTTATCAACTGAATTATAAAAAGTAAAATCCACAAAAATATATGTATCCTAAAGTAAAGAAGAATGGTTGATACAAACTAAGCGTTACACCTTCTGGTAGGGCATTTTACAAATATTTGTACATCTCAAAAATACTTTCAAAATAGGTTAGAATCAATGACGGCTTGTCTGTATAGTAGGAGAGGCCAAGAAGCTAAATGGGGATTTACTTATGGATTACTATTGTAATGCAAGCGAGTAGTCACCTTAATTTTTTAAATAAACTATTTCACTAGTAAGTAACTTTATATTTTAAATATTTAATACATATTTATGCTTCAGAATCATTAGATACACTAACAAAATCTTCCTCATGTTCCTCTTCACCCATCTCCTCGTCCGCGAACTTTTCGGAATCGAAAGAATCATCGTCGAAGGAATCGTCGGCATATACCGAGACAGCACGGTCTTCAAGAATTTGTCTCGTTTCGGTGATACATTTTTTAATTTGTTTTTTGGATGCATGGTCCATCAATGGGTAGTGCGCATATGGCACCCATTTTCTCGACTGCTCGTCTAATTTGGCTGGCTGGGAGAACACGATGCCCTCTGGTATTTTAAAAGAACCTTAAAAATAATAACTTATTGAATGTAGAGTGGATTACTAGGAAATACTGACGACCTGGTGGTATAACCTTATTTCTTGGAGTTCCATCTAGAAAATTAATGATTTCGGAGATTTATAAATCCGCCGTATTCAGTATATCAAAAATATTGACAATCATCAACATGAATAACTATGTTCCTGGCAACCGAGGTTGCCACATGACATAATGTAAGATTACTAATTTCATCGAAAGAATATTTACCCAAAAAAGTGAGAATAGTTTATGTATGTGTCCAATATAAGGAGATAGTACTCACTGCATACAAGACACCAGACTGGCCTTGACAGCTCCCCTAAAACACTGAAGAATATTCTCAGTCGGTAGAAGGACCATCAGAAATGTCACTATTAAAGACGATGACTTTAAAAACAGACTCCAATATCGGCCCAAAATATCTGGAAATAAGAATTGGCCACAACATAGAAGTGCTCAAAAAGCAGGAAAGATTGCAGCAGTACTAGGTAAAATATCAACAAATTGAGGAAAGCACAAAAAAACACAGAAGAATCCATAAAGAAAGACAGCCAGTACGTATTGCACAGTGTCAGTTAAAGTCATACAAGTGAGAGTACTTACATTACCAATGCCCATACAGGGTTCTAGGGATAAAGAAAGAACAAATAGAAAAATGTTCAATTCCATGTTTAAATTTAAATAACCTGTAAAATATGATATAAATTTGATTTACCATTCGACGGAATTCCTAAAGAAATTATTTCATCTCCCACTTCCTCGGCATACCACAGTTTCATAAGGGAAACTATCGCTCTTACTTTACTGAAAATAGGATGGCGTCCTAAGGTTTCGTACATCAGTTTCTAAAAAATAATTTATTTAAAACTTTTTAGTGCACCAATGTCAAACGCATCTACTTTATTTCATATAATATTAAGTTTTACAGGTTAAAAAAAGAGAAAACTTACACTTCCTTCTTCAACCTTCTTCTTAATAGCTGCTACATCTTTTATTTTATAAGACATTAATCTTATTTCTGAATTGACAGTACCCAGGGGCAATGTGGAGCCCTTGGGAGAAGTTAGACTACTAAAAAACAAAATTTGACTTAGTAAACATATACAATTTAACTATGTTTCGGTGTTTATTCACATACAATACAAAAGTTATTACCATGAGCCTTTTAATAAACAAGTTATAAAAATAATTTTAAAATCGTGCAGATGCCATCACCACATCTTGACCAAATTTAAAGGGTACCACCCCTGAGGTACCCCTTTACTAACAAAAAAAGAATCATATAAATCGGACAAGGTAGTAAAGAATTACCGCTAAACACACATAAAAAATGAAGAGTTTGAGGATTTTCTAATGAACCCAATTATTTAATTTTGACCAAATTTATATGGAACCACCCCTGAAGTACCCCCTTTCTAACAAAAAATTAATCATTCAAATAGAACACCGTGTTAAAGAATTATCGCTGAACTTACATAAAAAAATATTAGGGTGAATTGAGAACCTTCTCCTTTTTTGAAGTCGGTCAAAAAATGGCCCCCTCCAAAAATCCGGCCTGAGGCTGCCCTTGGTTAATTTCGTTAAGCATTATAATTGTCTCGAATCAATTGCTTAGGTATTTTCGAATAGGTTTCGAATATGTCTACTGTTCAAGCAAAATTAAAGATCAGAGGATGTTTCACAGAGATGCTATGAAACTAAGAGATGTGTAACAGTCAATGGAGCTCAATAAGAATGAATATATGTTTCAAGTTAATTTCTTTATATTTAAATAACGCAATAATGTTACTATTCTCTTGGATCAATTGCTTAGGTAATTTCGAATAGGTCTCGAAATTATCTACTGTAATGGAGATATTTAAGAAGCTAAGGGAATATGAAAAAAAATACAATGAGACAAGAAAATTGAAATACAGTACAGTACAGGGCCCAGTATTATCATCGTACTGGATTATAAGGGGTAGCCAAAAAGTTTCGCAACAATTTTTTTTTAACGAATTAAATTATAGTGAGAAATTACATTATTATTGCTTTTTTATGATTCTATACATACATGGTAGGAAAAAAGTCGAGCAACAAGGTATTATAGGGTGATGAATGGGATTGTATTGCATTAGTAATGTGGTACTTTTTTTAGTATACTTGAAAACAGTAAAAAATTAAATTTTCGACCAACTTTGCAATTTAAAAAATTGAAGATGGCGACGGTACGCTAAATGCCGACGTCACATAAATATGTCCTCTCAAAAATACAAAATACAATCCCATTCCTCATCATATAATTACATAATTATAAATTCAGTTATTTCAAAGAAAATAACCTTATTGCCAGACTTTTTCGCTACCGTATATAGATACTTGCATATAAAAACTTACCTTCTATATGGCCGATACATATCGGCCTTGTATAGCATATTCTTCACGTCAACGAAACAGTTTAAGCCAATGTTTCCCCACACAGCGGGAGCGCAAATACTGCTGACCAGGACTCCTGTTGCTTCGGAAACGGCCGTTATATATGGAAAAGCTTGGTCGGCTGTCACAGCAACTATATGAGGAAATTGACCGAAGGATGCCGTCCACAAACACGTGGCCATATAGCAGACTGGTCCTGTATTGGCTAAGATTATTTTGGCATCACGCTTTCCAAGAGCCATTAGAATGTCAGCGAAGATTTTCATTCTATAATTGCAGCGATCTAGTTTCTTTATGGGGTCTAGTTCTTTTTGTCTGCAAAATACAAGTAGTTTATGTATTTAAAATATCGAAAGTTAGTAAAAAACTCTTTAAATATTAACTTTTTTTATTAATTTATTTAACATCAGCCTATTTGTAACTGCGAAGTTTAAATACCGACGCTGATGATCACACTACCCCCAATTACCAGAAATTTAGCCAAATCCTTTGATGCTCCAACCAGAGGTAAAGATCTTTAACATCTATGGACTCAGGACCGACGCGATGGCTTTACATCTCCTTCGAAAGATGGCATACTCCACGCTATATACTTTACTCATCGATATAAAGCCTGTCCGCTGTGGTACCTGTACAACTACGTGAGCTGTTTGTTCCGACGTACGCCGACTACTAATTGCTCTTGGCCTGGCTTGATTGCAAATATCGATACACAATAAGTGAACGTGCTAAGCTGGACTTCTGCCCAGCGGAAATTTTTATTTTTTTGTGGAAAAAATGGAAATATTTTTACGCATGTCTGGGAATTTGTTAAAATTGGTTGGTAATATTGTGTTGAGAACAACACCTGTTCGCGGAGCCTGTCGGTGTCATATTCACGACAGATGAACATGCGCATTTCGATTTTAAACGTTCATAGAGCCGAAAATCGATCTCTTAAAACAGTTAAAATATGCATATACTGCGAACAAAGTTATTATGCTGTCTGTTGTTCACACAACTTATCTTTTTTATTAACACTGTGTAATTATAAAATGGAACTTACTGACTGAAATCCTCCAAACAAATTATGATATCAGAATTTCCTATGGCTTGATCCGAACTTTCGCAAAGTTCTATCAAATTATGACACCCGAATATTTTCAACTCATTAAAATACATAATAAGATCAATCATTTGTTGATAAGTTTCATTATCGATGAACTGCCAGTGCTCGTAAAATTTGAAAATTATGCCTCCGCATTTTTTTAATTCCTTGATTTTGATGAGTTCTTGAATGAGCAGGGCCGTAGCCGCATTGGCAGCACCCAATATCGTTATAAATTGAAAAGATCTGGACTCGCACCTTCTTTTACCTTTAAAAAACTAAAATATAGAAAAAATAATATTAAAGGTGTTACAGTTATTTATACTCCAAATAAAATTTATATGAGATTTCTGACTTAATCGACACTACTAGGTATACTTCTCCCAATGCAATAATTTATTATAATACTTTTAGATTATCAGCAGCCAGCTCTTGAAGAGAATGTTTAGGGATAAGGGATTCAAGTCCATAGTAACAGTAAACGTGTTCCCAAAATTCACTAAGTCCACCAAGAAGATACTTTTTACCACCCCACATGTACAGCTCCTTCCATATTACTGGACTTTCACACATATGCCACTTATTTGCTCTATTTAATTCGTCCAAATATAACTGAAAAAACAAATTTTTTTTCTAGGAAATTAACCGTTTTAAAAAAGTTTTACCGCCCAATCCCTAGGTGCCATCTCGATTTTCTTGTAAGCAAAATTCGGAAGCTTCTCCGACAAATACTGAGCCACAAAAGCAGCATGTGCAAAATTTGGACAATCTGGTTTACCGTTTATCACAAAATAAGGCATTTTAACAAAATGACAGTTGCAAAAAAACTTTGACAAAACGTTAAAAATAATTAAAATGTCTTTTCCACATTCCAGCTGTACTATGTATTGTGGAATGCCTACTTAGTAGGGAAGGAATCGTATTTGTGTAATACAAGTTGCATATCATTCAAGGTAACAAAGCTAACCGTTGGTTCTAAGAAGTCAAAGAGCAAAAGTAAATTGAAAAATAGAAGAAAGAAGAAGAAATCAACCACAATTATGACGTTTATTGTTTTCATTGGATGACTTACTTTTAACAAAAATTTAGTATCTTTTTGAGTGAGGTACATGAACATCTGTTCGGTCCTATTATAGTGAAGTGGTTTGAAAAAAGTTTTGTATATTTTTAAAGGGACGTTATGTTACCTGTAACTTTGCTTAAGTAAGCTGCAAAGATGCTAGAAGAATTTGTGTTGAAGGGGCCAATTTTCACAGATAGGTGAAAAATTATGGAAGAATATGAAGATGAACCAGATTTAAATGAACAAATTTTTCACAATAACGTTAGGGAGCAAATAGTGAGTAAACATTTAACTCATAGAGTTGTTAACAATCTGTAAAAATTGGGTTTAATTTAGTTGTAAATTAATGCAATGAAATATTTTAAAATAGTTTTTCTTGAATCTAATTTAGTTATATCACCACATTTCTTTCTATTATAATTTAGGAAGCCTCAATTATTCAATTACTACGATATGAAGTGATTGGACAATAACTGGGATGCTTTTTATATGTAGGTTTTATCAAGTAGAAAATATTTTAACTTTTCTTGATAAGAAAAAAATTTCATTACATTAGTTGTTCTACTCAAGTCTGATCTGTTTCAACCCCAAGTTCAACACCCATTTAAAAAATATATAAATTCTAGTATAACCATATCTATTGGCAGATTTCAAAAATATTTTCATAAAAATAAATAGAAGTTTATCTGAAATTGTTTAAATTTGAATAGGTTAACAATAATAAGTAATTTACAATATTATTTTGTTCTAAAATTATTTATTCTCAAGCAAACACTTAGAAAAAAATGCAAATTAAAATTAAAAGTTTTGTTACTACCTGCAAATATGAAGTTTATGAAGAATGTGGGAATACCCCTGGGAATACCTAAAAAAACTATTGTAGCTTTCATAAAATGAAATGGAGGAGTTATTAAGAATCCCAAAAAGGTGCAAATATGTCATAATTATTATTTTATAAGAACTGTAAAATATTTGTGCCAAATAGTTCTTTTTTACTTAATCTTTAAAACATATATGTTTCTACTTTTACTCTTTAAGAACCCCTGCAATAGAAGACTGGGCTTACAATTTTCTAAATTTAATTTAAAATTTTGTAAATAAATTTGTGATAAGAGTAATGGTCAAATGACAGAAAATCACCCATATAGCATACTGAAGCTCTTTTATTTTCTAATATATGCTAGTGACCTAATTTCTTCAATTGTTCCTCTAAACAGAGGACATTAAAATCATTTGCATGAAATGAGACTCTTATTTAGAAACAATAGGTATTCATCTGCTAAAAAATAGGTTATTTTTCTTAAATATAAAATATACAAGGTTACAAATTGTAATACATAATAGGTCTTTTCCTTTATATTGAAAGTTTCATTCCATTTATACAAATTGTATGGATGGAATGATATTTTCAGAAGTGACGTAGCTCAGTGCTACACTTTCAGTGCAAAGGAAAATACCCATTATCTTTGTCATATTAAATACCTCCTATGTGAAGAATTTGTAAATTTGAGTAAATTGTATCAAATCAAACAGGGCTTTACAAAAACCTTCAGTCGAAGAATAAAATTAATTGTATTATCTAGAATTTTACATACATATGAGGTACTTTTTATTGGATATATATTATCAAGGATATTATGGAAAAGGCGAAATTTAAAATGATAGAATCCTTTATTGTCACATAGGAGATATTAAAATGGTAATGGCGATATTATACATTACTTTCATTGTAAAAAGACAATCCAAATAACTTCCAACCTTAAATGCAATTTGAATTTTTGAAAAATACCTAATTTAATTAGTGATTATAGAAAAAAAATGGTAAATTTTTAGAAATTTCCATTCATATTATTTAACATTATGATTCCATATGTTATATTCATTGTTTTTATGTACTTTCCCCAATATTATATAAAAATTACACTCAAAATAAATTGATAATAATGTCTGATATCTATATATTCTCAATCAACTTATTTAATTTTTTTTTTAAACTACCTAAGTATTGTTAACAAATAAGTAATGTGATTAGGTATAAAAAATATTTTTAACATGCAGAATGCTTTTCATGTAGACAGTATCAAATCGATTGCTAATATGATCATACAGATTATCAAATTTCAGACAGATAAATGGACATGTTCCTACTATGTATAGTAAATTCTTTAATATACTTTATTTTTGTAATGAATAATAAAAGTAGCACAGACTATGATTCTAAGATAAAAAATGCAAACAAAAATACATATTTAAGGCCTATTCTCAGGCCTATTAGTATGTTAAGTTGTATTGAAATAATAATTAAGGTCATTTATGAGCTTGTTCAATTTTTTAAAACATAATAAACTTATTAGAATACAATTAGCCTTCAAAAGCAAGCATAACTATGAATAAGCTATTCAGTATGTTTTATATGACTGGAAATATAAATTTGATAAAAACTATCTAACATTGGCAGTTTTTATAGGTCTGGATAAAAAAATAAAAAGTATGGTTATAGTAGAACAAACTTTGAAGTGGTGTATATATTATCTAAATAACAGGAATCAAAGGTTAAAAGTAAATATCTTATCAAAAAAAATTAGCTATTTCAAAGGTGTTCCGCAGGGAAGTATATTAAGTCACCTGTTATTTTTATTTTTTGTCAATGACATTGTTGTCAAGGGTCAATGTGATTTTCGCCTGTTTGCTGATGATGCCTTTATATATTATTCTTGTGAAGATCCAGATAACTTAGTAAAAGTTGGTAATGAAACTCTGAAAAATGTTTATAAATGGTGTTGCAATAATTTGTTAAAAATCAACACAAATAAAACAATACCTATGGTGATAAATAATTACAATAACTATGTGCAGTTGGTTAAATATATATATTTTTCTTTAATTAAAAAAAATGATTATTGCTTGTTCTTTTCTATTAACATATTGTCTTTTACTCTTTTTAGGAAAAAATATTAAATTTGCTTTTTATATGATATAAAGAAGAAAAATATACCTTATAATTTATTAATTTATTTCTTTCAGGAAAAAAATAAACCAAAGTTGGGAATTTGTTTATAACAAATTGTTAACTTAATAAACAATGGAATTATTAATAAAAAAAAATTTTTTGCTGTCACTTTGTAGAGGACTGTCAATTATGATTTAAAAAAAAAACACATTTCTTAACTAATAATTTAAACAATAGATATATTAACTTGAGTACGGGCGTAAAGAAAAAAAGTTATGTCAAAGGACAGGGAATTTTTTGGTACTCATCTTACTCTGGATAGAGCTTAATTTATAAATTTTATATGTTTGAACAGATTTTTTTTAAAGTTTTTGTCAATTATTTAATTTTTTTTCGTGGCTAAACGTTGATGCCTCGCCGTCTACATGGCTAAATTCAGGAGGATGGACGGTGAGGCATTCATGTAATGCCACATTTTTGCGCTTTTAGACCTGTCGATTTACATGCATGCGAGACAATGCATTTGTGCTGGAGCGGCAGTTTCTGTGTGTTTGAGCTAACGTAAACATAATAGGTGATTTTGAGAAAGAAAAAGAGATTAAGTGAACTGTGGGATAATTGCTACAAAAAAAAGGAACATGCTAAAAATCGGTGTTGTATGTTATGCTAAAAATAAAGAGCAATATGGGAGAGTTGCAGCACAGAACAAAACGCCCAGAACAAAATGGCATTGCAAAAAAGTTACTGCGTTCATTGGTTTTCTTTTACAGAACATCGACCAGAAAAATTATAATAATATCATAATAATGGTTATTTTCTATGTTAAATTAAACGCATTTATTTAGATTAGTTTTTTATAGCATGTTTCGATTGTAACAAGTCGTTTGGCTTTATATTTTGCTTAATAATAATAATATTTAAAACAAATAAAATAAACTTTTATGACACAGGATATGTCTCTTATTTTGAAGGCCAGCTAAACTTTTCTATTACTATAGACGGCTAGGAGTGAGCTCCTATGTTTGTAGCATTATATCAAGACATCAAGACGTACTTGCTAATTTTCTGACTGTGGCATCATATTGATGCCTCGCCGTCTCAAAGAAGACAAGCAGTGAGGCATCCGTTAAATGCCACACCGTACTCAACGTGTTAAAAAAACGATTATAAACAATTAAAAGTTATTAAGAAAAAATTTTTAAAATTTTTTAAAATCATAATGGGCCCGTTCACTTTCATTTTTGAATGTGAATTAATTATATATTTATAAAGATATTAAACTCTTTTGTCTGGTGGTACTTTTCCCGTTAAGATATTTTTGCTAGAAGTAAGGGAATTCCCATAAAATTCTTTCAGTGACTCATTGCGTCAGAAAATCCCTAATTCCGTTCACGTCTCGTATCGGTTATGTTTAAAGACGGCGAGGTTGTCGGAAGTATCCCTAATATAGCATTTCTGCATTTATATATGTAATTTAAATAGTAAAATTCCATTATTTTTCTAAAAATCATGAACTTATATTTTCAGATTTAAAGCTGGGAGCTTATTTTTTACTTTTTAATTAAAACAATTATTATTACTCAGGCTGAAAATTAACCAGACAATCAAAAAGTAGAAATTTGATTTGCAATATTTATCTGGTAAACGTGGCAACGTTACATTTATTTCTAGAAGTGGTAAACAACACTATTTAGAAGTACTTACAACGTTGTCACGTTTACCAGATACATTTTCTCAAATAAAAGTTCGATCTGGTAATATTCAGCTTGAGTAATACTAATTGTTTTTATTAAAATTTAAAAAAGGTAAGGCTTCCAGCTTTATCTGAAAATATAAACACATTATTTTTAAAAAATAATATATTTTTATCATGTAAATTTCTTTAATAAATGCAGAAGAGGAATGGTGGTGCAATGATACATCCGACAACCGCGCCCTTTTAACTATTAACCGATACAAGACCAGGGGGTCGATTCTCGACTCGTAGGAATATTTTCCTATAGGAATTTTTGACATTTTTATGTACATCCAAAATTTATGACATTTTCCTACATATAGGAAAGTGTCACAAATTCCTATAGGAAAAGGTTCCTACAAGTCGAGAATCGACCCACTGAAGGGAATTAGGGGTTTTTTGACGCAATGAGTTGTTAGCGCGCCACTGTGCATATATGGCACTAGATAATATAGACGTATTCCGTTTGACATGTCCAAGCAGTTATTCTTATTCGGGCGAAGAGTAACTACGTGCCTTGTCTTGATACGGTATAATATTTAAAATCTAAAATCAGAAAGTGGGATACAAAGAATCCATTATTTAAAATCG